AACCTACGCAATGCCTAAGTACCTTAACTTTTGAAGTACCAAAAAAATGTGTAATTTTTTTATTTATTCAACTAATACATTTGCATTTGTTTATGTCGTTTTAAAACAAGGTTCGTTCAATCTTATTCAAGTAATTTTTTTATTTTTCCTCAGCTTCTGTTGTTTTCCTGATGATGATTTTTTAGTGGGAAACTCAATCTCATGTCATTTTAAAACAAGGTTCGTTCTTATTTATGCTTGCTTTCATTGTTTCTTTTCTGTGTTTGTTTGGCTGATGGGAAAGTTGGGGGGGGGGGAGCTAGAGAAAAGCTTTCCTTTATAGCTTTGTTCTCAAGCTGGTTAATTAACTTTAACAATAGAAAAAAAATTTAAGAGGATGAGTTTTCGGGTAATCGGAAATATGTTTGTTGGATGAAATTATTTCCAGTGTTTCATTGTTTGGATTCATGGAGAGTTATGATTGCATGGATCAATAAGCTTTATACAAACTGTTTCCTCAAATTTGGTGTATGGTACCTCTGGTTTCTGGCATAAAAAATGTTTTTTTTTTTTTTTAATACGTGTTTTGCTCTCTAACCTCCCTTCCTTTCCTTTTGTTGATTTTCTGGTTGAGGATATGTTTTGTCCAACATTTTTGGAACTACAGTATCTATAAATAGCAATGTTGAGCAAAGGTTGAGTGAGGGAGAGAATATGTTGAGTGGATTAATGCAGCTAATGAAGGCAAGATTCCCTGACGAGAATATCACAAATATTCTACAAGCTGCCAACCAATTAGTTGCTGCCAACAGATTGGATAGAGAGGTAAACTTTTTTGTTCAACCATTTAATTGCTTTGGGATGCTATTATTATTTTAGTTTTTTGTTTTCACTACTTCTTAAGAAGTTCTTTGTATTCTTGCATAAATATGGTTAGGTAGATGATAAATAGATTTTTCATTGGAAGCTTTGCTAGGACAAATGTGGCCATTAGTAGAACAAATCAATGGAAAAAAATTTTTGAGCTTATGTTTTGTCCTTTTTTTTTAGCTCTTCAGTCTTTTCTTAGGTTATCATCTCTTCTACTTTGGTTTTTGGTGAGCTTATGTTTTTGTTATTTTCAATCTTCATGGAAATCTGTACTCACTGAATTTTATTTTTCAATAGGCACATGCGCCCGTCAAGAGGTATTTAATACTCACTCATACCTCTTTGTTTTGGTTTCATTATTTTCGAAGTTTAATCTCTCAATTTTTTTTTTCATTTCTTTTGATTGAATTTTTGAAATTTTAGTTATCATTGAGTTTCTTTCTACTAAATTGCAGGTTTCGAATGCTAATAGTGGGCAAGGTTTTTCTCCAAATAATGGTTCCTCTTCACATTCAAGCCATCACCTTTTATCTCGCCAAAATGAAAGTAATGAAGAAAATGAAAGGCAAAGGGATTGAAAGGCATGTTTGTATCTTTTCTTGGATCTGTAATTTTTGGCAATAAGCATTTAATTGAACTTTTTTGGATTCTACAATTTCTGTTTTTGCCTAGATCTATTGTTTTGAGATTGATTTATATCTATGGAATTCCTCTTTTATGATTGCTAATTTAGTGCATTAATTAACTAATTGTTTTTTTAATTTTTTATGGCATTTTTTATTGTGTTGAATGGTTTGATCTACATAGACTAGCTTAGCTTGAGCGGTTGTGTGCTTTGGAGGGATTGGTTGTGTGCTTTTGGAGGGATTGATTAATGCAAATGGTTAGGAAATTTCAATGTTGTGTTTTTTTCTTTACCATTTGTGTGCAAATGGTTAGGGATTGATTCATGAGAAAGAGGGGATTGATTTGGGCAAATGGTTGTGTGCTTCGGAGGGATTGATTTTGTAGCTCAGAAAAATGGTATTAATAATAAGTGCAAAAAAAAAATTATAAAATAAAAGTGAATTATCAATTGTAAAAAAAAAAAAGAAAAAAAAGAAAGGGATATATACCAACGGAATTATCTATCTATATAGGTCAGGGTCTATACCCACGGCAAAATCTCTTAAAATTTCTCAGGGTCTATACCAACGGACAAGTTTTCCATCAAAATAGAACCCAAGGTCTATACATACGGATTTGTCGTTGGTATAGACCCTATACTGATGAGGTTTGCACCAATTGAAAGTTCTTCCGTCGGAATAGACCCAGGGGGTCTATACTGACGAAAAAAGGGTGTATACTGACGGAAAACTTCCGTCAGTATAGGTACATTTGCTTGTAGTGTTATCTAGTAATGGAACATATTAGCATGATGAGGCAAACACAATTGGAATATGGGGAAAGAGCTTAACAAAGAAGCCAAGAGATGACTAGACAATTGGATAAGTCCCTTCAAAATCTGGCCCGAAGTATAGCCAATATGCAACATTCTAATAAAGAAAGTGCAAGGTTTTAGCGGGAGCAAAATGCAAAAAATTGGAAAGCTTTTTAGGTTGAAATATAATGGATGTGGGAAGTATTTTGACATGCCAGAATTGAAGCTTAACCACAAGCAGTAGATCTTCAAAGGGAGAACCATAATATTCTAGCTCCAACACTTGGGGGGCAAGTTAATTTACCATAGCCACTTTTCTAGAATCAACAGGCAGTAGTTGGTCCAGCATAGCTAGAACCAATTGAGGCTACACCACATGTAACAGAACTAGGCAATCTTTAACAGCCCAAATCTTTGCCACCTCAACGCCAACCAAATAGAGATCATCCACAACATAATGCACCTCTAAAAAAGGAGCAATTCCAACCTTATGTGCCACCCATGTAACAGAATCATCAAGATCTACCAGGCCAGTACATCAACCGTGATCAAATAATTGATCTAGTGCAAGAAGCTTATGGTTTAGTTTTAGGCTTCTAATCAGATTAGTTTATAGAAAACCATATCCAAATTACATAAACCAAGAGAATCCTTTCCCAAAGGGATTTAAGGTTCCAAAATTCACTTTATGTTCTAGAGATGGTGGATTTTTTACAATTGAACACATAGGTCACTTCACGATTCAATGTGGCAAAGCCTCTGATGATGATAATCTGAAACTCAAACTTTTTTCCTAGTTCTTTGACTAATACAACTCTCACCTGGTATCTGAGTTTGCTACAAAATTAAATTTATTCTTGGAAAAAGATGGAAGATTTTTACCATATTTAGTTTTATCACAGTGAACTAGAAGTATCCATGGCAGACTTATCTCGTTTGGTGCAGTGACCTGGAGAAACATATGAGGCCTTTCTTGTTAGATTTCAGAAGGCTAGACTTAAGTGTATAGTTGCTTTGCCAAAATAGGAGGTTGTTAAGCTAGTGCAAAATGGTCTAGACATTGAGTTAAGGAAGAAGTTTGAAGGAATGGTGTTTCGAGATTTCTTTGAGTTGTCTCATAAGGTTGCTCGTTATGAAAACTTATTATGGGAAGACAAATAAAGGAAATTTACATCTCATGGGACTTACTATAGAGATGCCCACTTTGATATGGATGTGGCAGAAGTGGTGGCAAAGCTCATATCCAATTAAAGTGGCCTAGCAAAATGATAAGGCAATAAAGTGTTGTGTTAGTGAGGCTGAAAAGCAATATACTTTTAATATATTAAAGACTAGTGAAATTTTTTACCACCTTAGAAAGAGTTGTCTAATTAAGTTGCCGCTGGGACATAAAATCCCAATGATTGGCAAAATTGGAAGTAGGGAATATTGTAAGTATCGAAATTCTTGGAAACATTCTACTTATGATTGTGTTATTTTTTGGAATGTTTTGTAGGATAAATTCAACAAAGGAATTTTGCATTTTCCAAATAAAGCTAAAGAAACTATGAGAGTTGATGTAGATCCTTTTCCTAGCATGTCTGTTGAAGTGAATGTAGTAGATCTCAGGAGCATTGGTAAAGATAGAAATTAGCCATATTTCAAGTGCAAACTTGTAGCTGATGATCTAAGTTAAGTCATTGAGGAGGCAAGGGCTCGTAGAAATCAAATGAAATCAAACCCATCCTAAAGGAGAAGGCACAGGGGGCACAACTTAACTTTGTAAAAAAGTAATGCAGATAAGGAAACTTTGCCATATAGAAACGCAACAAAACCCAAAATGGTGAAACCACCATCCAAATCTCCAAGCAAGCAGTGGGAACGTGTGGTTCACCTAAAATTTCCCAAGGTTCAAAATTCTAGGACCTTGAGATGGCGTTTACAATGTAAAAGGACAACAAAGAGACGTCAACAATAAATTGAAGGCTCGAGGGGCATAGTAGATCAGACTGAACCATTCCTAACAAGGAGGAAATTTGTGTGGGTTCGTAAAGATAAAGGAACGACATCTAATTAAACTTCTCCAAAAAATAATGAACCATCCATAGGTCTACATCACCTTAAGTTTTAGCTATGAAGTCAAACGAAGAAATTGACTTGAAGGCAAAGTTTCATGTATCAAATAAAGCAGAAAGTTCATCAAATGTAATTTAATTTGGTGAATTTTTCATGAATCTATCTTGTTTGGTGATTACTCTTCTTTTGATCTTCCAAGCTAAAGAATAGTTAAAATCTACAATTTGTCAGCAGATAGATCAAACCGAGGAAGAAGGAATCATTGAAATCCCAGCTAAGAAAGACAGAGGTGTAGATTCAGCAAACAAAATCATTTTTGAAAAGTCAGAAGAGAGGATGACCAGACTTATAAGGCCATTATACATTCATGCACATCTGGATGGTATACCAATAAATTGAATTCTAGTCAACAATGAAGCAGCTATCAATGTTTTGCCAACTTGCATGCTGCACAAAATTAGCAAATCTTTGGGTGATTTAATGGAGACAAAAGTGACGAGAAGTGACCTTACTGGTGGGGTGAATCACTTAAGGGGAATTCTGTTAGTAGAACTCATTGTGGGAAATAGAACTCCCATGTGTGCATTCTTTGCGGTTGACACTATTGCCACTTATAATGCATTACTTGGGAGAGATTGGATACATTCTAGCTTATGTGTTCCTTCAACTTTGCACTAGAAATTGATATTTTGGAATGATGGCAAAATTGAGGTTGTGACCGCAGATGACAATCCTTTCGTCACAAACACTAACACAGTGGAAGCTCTTTATTATGATGAAGATATTAGGACAATCTACTTTTTTGGGATGAATCGTTATGGTAGATCTTTTAGAATTATTACTTGCACCAGATCTGCACTTGATAAACAAACTATGAAGGAGGTCTGTGCTAAACTTCTTTGGCCTATAACAATTGTCCCTTTTAGGTCATGGAAAAATCCTGAGATTAAAGAGATTCCATGAAGAAGGATTACATTAAATACCAGAAAGAGGAGGTCGTGGAAGAAATTAAAAGGAAATTAGTGACCTACCCTACAGAAAAACGAATCTGTGTAGACAGATATGAAGTAGTTTATGAAGGTGAAGAAGAAGACCTAAAGGATCAAATAATTCTAAAGAAATTAGATCTGGCACCAACAAAACTTTATGATCTGAAGGCAGAGGTACAAGATCCATTAGAAGAGGTAAATCTGGGTACTAAAGCAGATCCAAAAATTACCTTTATTAGTGGTTCCCTTAAGCTATATTTGTGTGATAAACTTATTAATATTTTGCGTGAATATTAGGATTGTTTTGTTTGGGATTGTTTTGAAATGTCAAGTTTGGATAGGAATTTGGTGGAACATAGATTGCCAATAAGAAAAGGCTTCAAACCTTTCAAGCAGCCGTTTAGACGAATGTCTCTAGAAGTCACTCTGAAGTCAAATAAGAAATGAAGTGACTATTAAAGGTTGGCTTCATTGAAACTTCTAGATATGTAGAGTAATTATTTAATATGGTCCGAATGCGAAAAAGAATGGCAAACTGAAAATCTGTGTGGACTTCAAAATCTAAATCTGTCAACACTAAAAGATGAATATCTTATGCCTATCATAGATTTGCTGGTGGATGGTGCAGTGCACCATCGAATTCTATCATTCATGGATAGCCACAATGGTTGTAACCAGATTTTTACAGCAAAAGAAGAAATTCTAAAGATCACTTTCCATTGCTCAAGAGCTATTGGTACTTATGAATGGGTGGTAATACCATTTGGTTTAAAGAATGTGGGTGTAACTTACCAAAGAGTCATGAACGCCATCCTTATGACATGATATGATTTTTCATTTCATGGAGATTTATATTGATGATGTGATTGTGAAGTCCAATGAAGATGAAGAACATCTGATGCACTTAAAGCTAGCCCTTGAAGGCTTGAAGATGAATCATTTAAAGTGTACATTTGGCATTTCTGCTAGCAATTTTTTGGGATATTTGGTGCATAAGTGAGGTCTAGATGTGGATCAAAACAAGGCAAAAGCTATTATTGAAGCATAGCCACCAAGAAGTAAGAAAGAATTACAAAGATTCCTTGGGCAATTAAATTTTTTTAGGCGTTTCATTTCAAATTTGGCAAGAAAGATGAGTTTTTTCACCCTTACTGATGCTAAAATTTGAAGCAAATTTCAAATGGGAAAAGCACTACCAGACCATCTTTAAGGAAATAAAGTGTGAAAGCCACTAGTTTTACTGTCTCATATTTGAGGCAAACCTTTGATTTTGTACATATCTACTGTAGATGAAT